ATGAGAGAAAAGGTTAGTATGCCCAGGAAAAAAAAGAAATAAATAAATAACTAAGTAAATTAAAACATCCCACAGAATAAGAGGAATGAATCATATGCTTCTGGTCAATTCTAAAAGGGAAGAGTGATGACTCTATCTATAGGTTAGGCATTTTTAAGGTTCATTACATAGGGTTTGAGGTTAAAGTCTAAAGGTTCCCAAATTGCTCCTTACATCATTGTCTATCACAGACTAGTAAGGCACCCTAATCCTCACCCATTACAGGCTACAAGCGAAAAAGGTTCAATTTGAGTGGGAGTATTTTGCTAGCCACTGTGAAGGCATTAGACCTCACGAAAGCAATAGGTATTTTACTCCCTCCTAGAGAGACGAAGCTCGAGTATAGAGCTCATGTTATGTATATGTATATGAATGACATAATTAATAAAGTAAATAAACATGAATAAATAAATAAAATATATACAAAAAGGTTCAATTTTATTAAGTTTTTAGATAAAACAAATTTATTTGCTGGCCTGACTCTTAGAGTTCCCCAGCGGAGTCGCCAAGCTGTCATAATGTCTAGATCTGAGGATCCATCGCTAGACATTGACTTGAAGGAGTTGCCATCAATCTTTTTTTTCTTAGGTGCGATTGGCCACCTAAAGAATCTATCTTTCAGGGAACACCTAAGTCTAAAAGTCCCTAAAAGAATAGATTCAGGTCTACTAACCAAAATAGGGTTCAGGAGTTCAATTACGTATGAGGAAGGTTATAGCACCCTCACAACCCCCATCAAAAGATGGTACCAGCTTAATTTTGTATTATCCAATAAGTCTTAAAAATTTATCAGGTAATTAATTATTGAAAATTATTCTCAATCGACTCTAATACTTTTAGTAAAAAATTGAAAAAATTCCTTCACCTCAAGAGTATGCAAGAAAACTATTGTTTCACTTGCAGAGGCTCCATCGTCGGATTATTTAACATTAAAAAAATTCAAGAAAATAAAAAAAAAAAAATGATTGCTTTATATATAAACTCTTTTCTCTTCAAAAATTCATTGCTTTTGTATAAGAAAAATTGATACTTTCAACTATTCCCCAAAATATTTTTTAGAAACTTTAATTTCGAAGAAAATTGATACTTTCAACTTTTCCTCAAAAATATTTTTTTAGAAAAAATTTTAATTTCGAAGAAAATTGATACTTTCAACTTTTTCTTAAAAATATTTTTTAGAAAAACTTATTTTCAAGGAAAATTGATACTTTCAACTTTTCCTCAAAAATATTTTTTAGAAAAAATTTTTTAAGAAAAATTGATACTTTCAATTTTTTCTCAAAAAATATTTTTTAGAAAAATTATTTTTAATGAAAATTAATACTTTCAACTTTTCCTCAAAAATATTTTTTAGATAAATTCTTTTCAAGAAAAATTGATACTTTCAACTTTTTCTCAAAAAATTTTTTAGAAAACTTATTTTCATGAAAAATTGATATTTTCAACTTTTCCTCAAAAATATTTTTTAGAAAACTTATTTTCAAAGAAAATTGATACTTTCAACTCTTCCTTAAAAATATTTTTTTGAAATTTATTTAAAGAAAATAATAACAGAAAAATAAAATAAAAATAAAGAAAATAAAATAAAGGAAAAAATAAAAATAAAATACTAAACAATTCTAATCTAATAAATAATAATAATAATAAATAAATAAATAAAAACCTGGGAACGGCTCGGCTAGGCTCAACTCGGCTTCGCACTCGGGTCACACGTGGGTCGCGCACAGGTTGACGTTCGGTTGGGTCTGATCTTGGCAAAACGCGCGGATCTTATGGGTTTACTAACGCAAAAACAACGTCGTTTTGAGGTGGTATATAAGGCTGAAGGTCAGTTTTTTTTTCAGAATTCCCTTCTCCTCTTCTCTTTCTTCCCTTCTTTTCCTCTCCCCTCTCTCTAAACAGACAAAGAAGTCCGGTTGAATCTCATCAGATTCTGAAAATTTTTGTCGAAATCTAGGTTTTTCGCAAGAAATTCGCAGGAAAGCTGGTCGGTTTCTGAAAATAGTCGTCGAAAATTGGGTAGCTGGCTGAAAATTCAAATTTCGCTGAAAAATTCAACCGAAATCTAGAAATTTTTCAGAAATTTCCAGAAAAAAATTCACCAAAATTTTCTAAAAAATCCTGAAATTGCTTCTGACCCTTCTGGATGCCTTTTTCTTTCTCTTTTCACTCTCTCTCAGTCAGTGTCTGCCTTTTTTTTTTTTGTTCCAGTCTTTGTAATTTGTGGATTTATTTATAGGAATTGATCAGAAGAGTTTTTGATCAATCCCAACTCCTTCTTGGATTGGGATTCAATCCTTGAATCCAATATGAACTCTGATTGAATCTCAAATTCACGGTAGAATTCTCAATTTCCATCCCAATCTAAGCCGAATAAAAAGAAAATCAAATCAAATCAAATAAAAAAAATGTTAATAGATAATTAAAAGAAAATAATTAGATAAATAATAATAATAATAGATAAATAATAATATATAAATAGATAAATAATAATAAATATATATTAACAGATAAATAATTAAAAAAATAAATATATATTAATAAATAATAATAATAAATAATAAATACATAATATACAAAAAATAAATAAATATAAAATATAAATATAAATATTAAATAAAAAATAAAATGAACTTACTCATTTAGACCAAACCCAATTAATTTGGACCTGAACCAAATTAAATGTCTACAGGGGGATAGGGGCGATTGAAACCTCTCTCTGCCACGACAGCTCTTTTATCGCGTATTAGCTTGGCCACCATGCTCACTAAACACATGTACATACTTTATTATTTCTTTGCCAAAACTTGGGATCGTCAATTTATCATCAGTTTAGATGTGCAGAAATGCAAATGACCAAAGGTCTAAGTTTTTATAGTTTTTTTTTTTTATCTGGTCCCAATGAAATGATGAATCCTACATAAAGGATTCAACCTCTCTGCAAGTTTCAGGCAGAGATTTAATTGTTCTGGTAGCAGTTGGCATCGTCTTCTTTCTAGTTTTATATTTGTGATTTTCATTTGGAATTTGGAAAGATGAAATTCGCCTGGTTCTTCAGGGTTCAGAACAAGACTAGAGTTGAGTAGCAGTCCTACCGCATGAATAGTAAGTGGGGAAACAGAAGTCTAGGTAGAGGTGGCATTCATTGGGTTCTTAGCTTCAAAATCTATGTTATTTTATGATTTTGCTATGAAGATTGGCAGCAAATTAATCTCCGATTTAGAACAATTGTCCATGATTGAAAAGCATACCTGAAATAAGGAGAACCAGTGTTCTCTTGCACACTCTTGGGCAGTCCAATTCTCTTTACAACCTCCATTCCTTCCAAGACTTCCCTGAAGCATCTAGTTTGGGTGAATCCTTGATAGAAATCACAAACTCTGTACCATTGTGTCTCTTCCAATCTCCTCTTGATCAATCTCCAGCGTCCCCTTTCGTGCAACCAACTTCAGTTTGGGAGGCGGTTTAGAGGGATCCCTTACGAGGACGCTCAGTTTTCCGGCCAAGTTCTTAACTCCTGGACACTTATCATATATTCTCTCCCGCTCCTCCCTCAGATTTTCAACTGCCAGATTGCTTCCAGTTCTCTTCGCAAGCTCAGCATCAACAACATAAGATCTCAATCCACCATGTTGCACATAGTTTGGCATAATCCTAATGAAATCTTTTCTTCTATAGCTAATTCCAGCAGCTCCATTAACTATACTAAATCTACCAGCCCCAGCTGGAACATCATCACCATATAGTCCAATAACAATGCGGCCGACGGGCTCTCCATCAATGGCTATATCAAGAAAAGCTCGTTTATTAGGAACTTTGTTGCTGCAATTAGGACTGGAAGTAGTAACATTCTCTTCCGGTTGATGGTTGTCTGGCGGATTTTTTCAGCCTGTGCCTTGGACGGATAGAGTGGTTCCAGGGCCTAAGAACCTAACAGGAGAAGCAATGAGAAGTTGCCACAAATTGTAAGCTCCCTCCGGTATAATTTTAACTGTTTCAGAATGGGAGAACAAGGGGAAGCAGGAGTGTTATGGAGTTGTACAAGGAGGGCTGCTGCAGTTGGACAATGAAGTAAATGTGGGGAGGATTGTAAGAAATTCGGATTCTGCAAACATTTCTCTGCTTAATTTGGACTCCTTTTTCTTTTCGGGATTCTGCCCTCACTGCCTCGAGAGATTTCTGCACGTGAAAGTCTGTATGATATGCTTCTCATCTCGTACACCTAGTAAAGAGATTTTTGAGGAAAAATACCGAGTCAATCCGTATCCAAAATCCAAATGCTTTAGGAATGCTTTGTTTTTATGGTGACCAATACATAATACCAATATGTTAAGCCTGGCTGTGGGCCAATCCATCTCTTGTGATTTTGAATATAACGTCCTGCTTTCTGGATTTCAATTTTACTAAAAAAAAAAAAAGATGAAAATCCTTTGATAGCTTCTCTTCTAGGACTAAAACTGCAATCAGTTGTAATGTACATTTGAAATCGAGAGAATTAAATTCTAATCTCATAAAATTTGAATGCTATATACATCTAGAATTGGGTAGAGTCCCTTTCGGTTAAGCCATCTGTAATGGATGTGACATGCAGGAGAAGGGTGAATGCAAGATATTGAAGACAATGTTTATATATATATATATATATATATATATATCTTAAAGGGCTGCGAAGTGCGAACTCACCCATTAGAAGTTCGGTCAGCACGAAAAGTCCGTCCGGAGTCTTGGCTCCTTCGAAGATGTTTCAATGTATGACTTATTTAGACTTTTTGACTGAGAGAACCATATTTCGAAACCTTACTCAAGTGGGGGCAAACTATTAAATAATATTATTGGATGGTTTTGGTTTCAATGACAGATCAGCGGCCAGTGGTAACTATTTTAGTTCTTGCAGCCCTGTGGATATATAAAAAGCCGATTCATTGCTGAATCAGTTGCCAATTTCAAAAAAAAAAAAAAAAAATTGTCCGCCCCTCTTCTTTCTCCAAAAATTAAATGGACTTCGCCATTTTACATGTGCAACCACCAAGCTTCCACACAATTTCATTGACCCTCCACTACCACTGCTCTTCCAAAAGCAACAATAACGATAAACAAAAACAACTAAAGCGAAAAGAGTTTCACCATAAGAAAAACACTCCTCCTGCCCTCCCTTTCCGAAGATCCTCCCCAACCCCACTCTTAATCAACCACAAACCCTTCGCGCAAACTAAACTCCAAGCCCTGGACGCTGTCGTTAAAGACCTTGAAACTTCCGTCAAAAATGGCATAAACATCGATTCCGAGATATTCTCCTCGCTGTTAGAAACATGCTACCAATTAAAATCCATTGACCACGGCATTACTATCCATAGTCTTATACCCAAAAACCTATTACGTAAAAACACTGGCATTGCTTCGAAACTTCTGAGGTTGTACGCAACGTGTGGACATATCGAAAGTGCCCATCAATTGTTCGATGAAATGTCTAAACGTAACGAATCTGCGTTTCCATGGAATTCTCTTATCTCAGGATACGCAGAATTGGGACAATACGAAGATGCTTTAGCCCTTTACTTTCAAATGGAGGAAGAGGGTGTTGAACCTGATCGATTCACATTCCCTCGCGCGTTGAAGTCTTGCGCGGGAATTGGATTGATTCGAATTGGAGAGGAGGTTCACCGTGATGTGGTGCGTAAGGGTTTTGGAAATGATGGATTCGTGCTTAATGCTCTTATTGATATGTATGCAAAATGTGGGGACATTGTTAAGGCTAGGCGGGTTTTTGATAACATTGTATGTAAGGATACCATTTCCTGGAATTCTATGTTGAAGGGTTATATTCGTCACGGGTTATTGGTTGAGGCATTGCAGGTGTTCCGTGGGATGATTCGAGAGGGATTTGGGCCTGACCCTGTTGCTATATCGACAATTCTGTCTAGTTTTTGGTCATTGAAGGTCGCGGTACAGATTCATGGATGGGTTCTCAGGCAAGGAATTGAGTGGAATTTGTCTGTTGTTAACTCTTTAATTGTTGTGTATTCTAGTCATGGGAAGTTAGATCGAGCAAGTTGGCTGTTTCACCGAATGCCTGAGCGGGATGTTGTTTCATGGAATTCAATTATCTCTGGTCATCGACAACACCCAGAAGCTCTGGTGTACTTTAATCAAATGGAGAGTGGTGCTACTTTACCTGATAGCATCACGTTTGTGGCAATATTATCTGCTTGTGCTCGTTTAGGTTTGGTTAAGGATGGGGAGCGGTTGTTTTCATTAATGAGAAAGAAGTATGCGATCAATCCAATAATGGAACACTATGCTTGTATGGTAAATCTTTATGGGAGAGCAGGGCTGATCGATGAGGCTTTCAACTTGATAGTCGAGAGAATGGAGTTTGAGGCTGGGCCTACTGTGTGGGGAGCATTGCTTTATGCATGTTCTGTTCATGGAAATGTAGTTATCGGAGAGATTGCTGCTCAAAATCTTATCGAGCTGGAGCCAGATAATGAACATAATTTTGAGCTACTGATGAAGATTTATAGCAATGCAGGGAGATCGGAGGATGTGGAGAGAGTGAGAACAATGATGTTGGACAGAGGATTATAGACTAAGCACAGCACGCCAATATGGACTTGTGTGTGATGCTGGTAAATCAAAGCTCAACTGCACCTACCCATAGAAATGGATTGGTCAAGCTTCTAGCAGATGGCTTTAATTTTTTACTCTGCCATCTGTCTATGAATTCAATTTAGCTATTAAAGCAAGTCACGTAGTAGAAGAAAATAGTAATATTAAGAAACACAGTGATTTTAACTACAATTTTGGCTTGATGGTAACGGTAAAACGGGGAATACACTGTTCATGTAAAACTAGACGAGTGTTGCTATTCGCACTCTAACAATTACTCAAAACATTCATTTATTTTTAATACCCAATTTTTAACTCAACACTCCCCATATCCCAAAAAATAAATTTACCAAAAAATCCAAACATCCCATCTCCATTTCTCTCACACCCCATCTCCTCTTTCTCTTACTAACTGAAAATCTTAAAGGATTTTAAGTTCAATCAAGTCAAATTCAAAAGAAATTTCACCCATATTAAGTTAACAAGCATAAAATTAAAGGTAAATTTTTATTCTTTCTACTTTTTTGTTTGATTTCATATTTAGTTTTGTAAGATTTCATATTAAAATATTTAGATGTGATTCAAAACTTTCAGAAATGGATTTCCGAAAGTTTTTATAGGTTTTCAAAAATTGATGTCTGGAAGCCTTTAAGAAGGCGTTTAGATTCGCGAAATCTTGGATTTCGAGAAAAAGTGTGATACTTGAGGTTTTGTTTTATTTTCAAAATATTTCGTTTTCAAATTCAATCGTTTAGTTATGGGAAATGTCTATTTATTAAATTATGTGTCTTTATCATAATCTCTTTGACAATGTGTAGGCAATCTTTCATTTTATTAAAAAAAAAAAAGAATCAAACGACAAACGATGCCTTTATCATCAAATAAAATATAAAGATTTGTTATTTTTTTAAATTAAATATACTCAATTACGGCATTTAATTACACATTATGTTATAATTGAGTTTATAAAAATATATAATTGGTATGGTTGGAGTCCATATAAAAATATTAAAAAAAACCCAAACTTTCAATTACAGTATTTATTGCACATTATGCTGTAATTGAGCCTTAAAAAAAAAACCCTCAATTATGACGTTTCATATAAAAAAAATACCTTAATTAACTTGTTTTAAGAATTGAACCAAATTTTCAATTATGGTAGTTATTACACATTATGTCGTAATTGCTTTTAACCAAAAAAAAAAAAACCCTTTAATTATGGCTTTTCATTTGAAAAACACCTTAATTGATTTGTTTTAAGAATTGAACCAAACTTTCAAATACAACGTTTGTTTAAGAAACGCCGCAATTAAACCAACATACAAAAAATTTAAATTAATCAATTATGGCGTTATGTTTAGATAAACATCGTAATTGATTATTTTATAAACCTTAAACCCATTCACTTTCCATTCTTGAAATTGGAACAACTAAACAACTAAAATCCTTCAACAAGAAATGAACTCTTCATTTTCCATTCACATACCAAATTGTAAGTTGCTTCATTTCCCTCATCGCCGTCAACTGTATAACCTTGACCACCATCGCACATTGTCTAACTTTGGTAAATGGGATTTTTTTTTTCTTTTTCTCTTAGATTCGTACATGGATGAAGACATTTTTTTCCTTTTTATATATTTATATATATCATTCACCACTGTCACCACCATTGCACAACCTCCCTACAATGCAAGCATGGTTTTTACCACATAAATTGTATATATAAAATAAATATATTGTATGGTTAGAGTTTTATGGTTTGCTAATTGGTTGTATGGAAAATGGGTGTTTGATAAGTGTGATTTGCATATTGCAATTTACTGCCATGGATTTCTAAGACAAAGTTAGTTTGAAAGCACCATTCCTTATTGGAATGGTTTTATTTTTTTTCCTATTATATTGGATGGACTCTTATAATACGAAAAAATCTAGTATGGCTTGTTTAATGTATTTGTATAGAGAAAATTTACTAGATTGCATATTGGTGTATTTACTATATGGATATGTAAAAAGAAAGTTTGGTGTATTGCATTTTGGTTTGTTTCTTACATTTTATATAATTATGATCAAAATCATAAGTAGTATGGCTTTAAAAAAACATATGTCTTCCTCTACCAAACATGAAAAAGACACACCTGTTTTGAAAAAGAAAAAATCTAAGAAACGTGGTAAATTGTTTAAAGCTAGTGGAAAAGATACTCATGTGGAGTTTAATCAAAATAAGCAATCTATGTTAAGTGGAGGTGCAAAGTTGGCTAGCCATATTAGAGCTGTCATTTGGCAGACTATATCTATTAACTAACCTAGTTGGATGATGGTTCCAGATGATAAGAAGAATCAATTGTGATAAGTTTTTTCAATGAAATCCAAAGTATTTCATATTTATTGTTAATTGTTTATGGAATGCAATTACTATATTAAGTTAATTTAATTTCATCTTTTTTATAGGAACAGTTTGATGTCCCATTCGAGATAAGAAACTTTTGTTGCAATTTACTAGGAAAGCATTCAAAGACTTTAAGAGCAGATTGACAACCAAATATATTTTATCATTTGTTAAAAATTTTGAATTATTGTCTTATCCTTTAATGACATATGCAAATGTTATCAGTGATGTAAAGTGGTTGCAGTTTGTTCGAGATCATCTATCAAATGAATTCTCGGTATGTATACCCAGCTTCTTTTGTTTTTATAATGTATTGTTTAATCTAATTGTATGTTAATATTTCATTGATTTTTTTTGTAGAAAATCAAAGAACAACAAAAGAACATATGAGCCAAACAAATATATCACCATCGAACATAAAAAAAGGGATATACAAATGTAAAGTATAATCTTTTAAGTATTCAAACACTTTTACTATACTCATAGATGAATATTATGAACTTCATTAAATGAGAATTAGAAATTATATTGATTAATGGTTTCAATAAACATCTAGCTTAGGAACCAAAATACCAAGATAGGATGTTTGAAAAAAAAAGGACATATATGCAAAGATGGATCGTACAGGAATGAAGCAACTGAAGAAATAGCTTTAAAGATTGTAAGTTTATTTCGGTTTTATATCACGTATGTTGAATAACCTTTTATGCATGAATAAATATTGTATATAGTTAGTTACTCACCATCATGTTGTGTTTCAAGATAAATTTACTGCAAGATATAAATCCAATGAGCTATGAACCGATTATGATGAAGATCTTTTATCTTTAGCTTTAAGATCAAAAGAAAGACTTGGTCCTTGTTCGAAGGTTGGGAGATTTGTCTTCCAACATAATTTTTCAAAAATCAATTGAAACCCCGCGCAACGAAGAATGCTGAATATGAAGCAATAATTGAGTAGCAATGCAACCTAACATTGCTCGAGGTCAGTCAGTTACCGACATCTAACTTGAAAATGAATTCGCATATTAAGTCTTATAGCAAACCCTTCACTGGTAATCATCATTTTGGTTTTTTTTCTTTTATGAATTGAGTTATTTTTTAATTTAATTTATGTTTTTTGAAATTTTTTAAAGAAATAATATTTTATAATCCTTTGTAACAGGATGTTCAGCCTCAAATGATGACATTTGCACAATCTACCATGACTGCATTATCCACTTATGTGCATGAGCGTTCGTTAGGATAAGACTGCATTCTCATGTAGGTTGAGCGTGGATTATTTGATTATCTCTCAGCTACATACATAAAGCAGCCAGAGATTGATGCATTTTATGGGATGGAAAAGATATCAACTACAAAATTATTGTGTATATGAGGTTGCCTTATAATTTAATTTAAATATATTCTATGAATTTATTTTCCTATATTATATAGTTTTACGAATTGATACTATTGATTTTCATCATGCAGTTTCCTGTACAGAAGGTTGAAAGAAATACAATTGATTGATACATATAAATTCATTTACCAAAATTTTATCAGTCATGATTCTAGCTCTCTTACTAGTCGTGCTCATCATGTCGGTTAATTATTGTAAAAACCATCCAAATATTATGTAGCACTTTATAATTCTAGGTAAGTTCTATATGTAGTAATAATTGGATAATTTATGATATCAAACTTCCATAGTTTTTACATGTAATACATTTTAACATTACCATGCATATTCTTTTGCAGGGATCATTGGTAGCTTGTTGTAAAATGAGATAAATACATTTACTCCTTACTTATTGAACTCTGAAAAAGCAAGGTCGATACCTAAACCTGACCTTGCCAATATAATAAAAATGTATTACATTTTATGTTTAAATGATAATTTAATTAAAATGTGTTTCTGTGTAATTATTAGTATTTATGTTTGCAATGGATTTTGTGTTTAATTAAGGGGAATGGCTTCAGTTCATAAAAATAAAAAGTTAAAATGGGTGACATTATCGGTAAGTGTAAAAGATTATCGTAAACAATTGTCATATACAATGGACACTCAACAAGAAAAGACATATCATATTAATATATATTTAACAGAGGTAGAAACCAAATTGTACACTCAATCATATAGTACATAAATTAATTAAAATAAGCAAACATTATATAAAAAATATATAATGTCCCTATCCCCGAGATTGCAATGAATTGGTGAACATATGCTATGCCAGATGGTCTTTAAACTAAGTCCAAGAGTCAATTGGTTCAACAGACATAGTCAAATCTTGAAGTTCAGATTCATCTGGTTGGCTACTACTTCTTTCAGCAACATCATCTTCAATAAGGTCAATTATCATCTTAGACCTAGTAAAATTATAGAGAAAGCAACAAGCATAAATTATTCTACATTATGTCTTTATTAAATTGAATAAATGATTTTCTCTTAAAATTACTCATCTAGCTTTCAATATAACAAAACATCTCTTGATACAATTTTTTACTTTAGAGTGTTTCATATTAAAGTATTTCTTCAACATCTATAATTGAAGTCCTAGCCTCTAATCATTAAGATGATATCTTTGATCTTTATAAGATACCAAAAGACCTTCTTCATTTGTGTATCTAACATAACACAAATAGTAATTACCTATTACAAGAGAACAACATTAATATAGAAAAAAGGTGTTTCGTTATAAATTAAACCAAAATCTTAAAGCTAATAGCTTGTGGGATCCTCAACCCATTCCTGCGTGAAATGGCATTCCTTAGTACTCTGCCATCTGCTGTAAAACCTTTCCACCCCAATAGAACATAAATGAATTGCATATCTGAGGTACAAACACTAAAGATATTGGTAGCAATTTTATTTTTTTTAGTTCTGTATCTAGGGCTATCAACTGCGTCCACATTTACCTTGATAACCCAAATAACCTTTAAACCATATTCACTATTATCTGTTGAATTCTCCAGTATCGATTTGAGTTTTTTAAACAACGGGATATACAGTCTCAAAATAAAATTCAACACATAATATAATTGCCTATTAATTATTTCTCCAAATCTAGCTACTTGATGCTTCATAACCCTATTTTTTGTATAATGGGCAAAGATGTGGATGAAGCTAATGACCAATTCTTTTATTAACATATG